AGGGTAATAACCAGGGCTTTGTGCTGATAAAAAAATTTTTAAAAACAAGTGCTTCTGGATGCTGAAGTTTTTTGGGTACTTTGGTGAGAAGAAATGCCAAACATGGAATCCATAAATTTAGGCAAACAAGCTAATCCCCAGTCTATAAACCACATATCCTTAATGGTCATCCTTGGTTTCTCAGCAAGTTCGTAACTGGGATGGTTTTTGGAAGTACACAAGACCATCTCAAAACAAAAACAAACAAAAAACCAAAAACAAACACAAAGACTTAGGCCCAAGATGGTGGTGGCAGTATCTGCATCCCAGGTTTCTCACTTCTGGGGCAGTTAGGATGGTCCGGCTCATGCTCACAGTGGAATTGCCCGCAGTGGTGTCTGCAGCCAGGAGTGGGGGCCTGAGCTTGTCAAAGTCCTCACGTATCTTATGGTGCTGAGTTGGGTGGAAGTGAGTGTGTCAACGTTTTCCTGAAGTCTCACCACCATGGAGGGTTTGAAGACAAGAGTTCATTGCCAACATCCATCTCCACAACAGGACCAAACCCTTTCCTTGAACAAGTAGTAACCATTCCTTCTTCCTTAACCCTGGGGGCCGTGACTATCACCTAGGCAACAGAACCACAGTTCTGGTTTGGCTTGCATGTGGGCCAGAAAAGGGTATGGAACATTAAGTTCATGGGGTTTTTGTTTGCTTTGTTTGTTCTTGTTTTGTTTTGTATCAAATGAAGACTATCATACTATCTTCCATCCTTTTACTGTGAGAGGAGATAGCTTAAACAAGAAACTTAAAGTAAAAAAAAAAAATTGTACTTTCTTTTTTAATTTTAAATAAGTTTATCTAAAAAGTTTTAACTGGAAGAGAAAACAAGAACTCATTTTTATAATAATTTACCCCAATTCAGGAATAAATTGCCCTACATGTACCAGCTATGTACCAAAAAATGTCACAAAATTGTCCTTGCTTTTATGACGATAAATGACAAGTGAACACGGTATGTAAGAATATTTTCGTTGAACAAAATAATTTACTGGAATATAAAAAGAGCTGACTGAAGCACTCCATTAATGGAGAAGGGAAATATTTTCAGAGAACTAGTATTTTCCCCATATTTGCATTTGATATCAAGTCCATATAACATTACCCATTTAAAAAGAAAGAGCACACAGACAGCCAATAAGGTTCAGCAGGTATTAAAGATAAAGACAGATGCTTACAGAAACAGAGTGTAGTGATGGTGGTGGTGAGGCTGCCTTAAACATCAGCTCTCTCTAATCATATGATTGGTCTTCCTGGAGACAAGCCCTTGACCTGCGTAATCTTTATAACATAAGCTCAAATAGGATCCAAGGGCTCAGGAACATTGAACATATCCCTAATCATCAGGAAAATTCAGAATTTCAAAGCTGGAGAGATGGCTCAGCAGTTAGGAACACTGACTACTCTTCTAGAGGTCCTGAGTTCAATTCCCAGCAACAACATGATGGCTCACAACCATCTACAATGGGATCTGATGCCCTCATGGTGTATCTGAAGACAGTGGTAGTGTACTTATGTAAAATAAATCAAATCTAACAAAAAGAGAAAGGGCTAAACATGGAGCTCAGTTGGTAGAATGTCTGCCTAACATGAATGAGGTCCAAGGTCCGGATGCTCAGCTCTGCACAACCCAGGAACAGTGGAGTACACCCATACTCTAGGCGTTCGGGAGGTGAAGGCAGGAGTTCAAGGTCCTCACCTACCTGGTAAGTTTGAGGACTACATGAGATTCTCTGTTAAAAAAAAAAAGGGGGGGTGCAGAGAGCTCAGCTATGCACATAAGAACTGACATTCTATACCAGAATCTACATAGGAAAGCCAGGCCTGGTGGTAGGCACTTGTCATTGTAGCACTGAAAAGGCAGAGACAGATGGATCTTTGGAACTTGCTGGCCTCACAGACCAGCCTATGTGAGCTCTAGGCTAATAAGAGTTCAGTTCCTAGCACCCACCCACATCAGGAGACTCAAAAGTTACTGCAACTCCATCCAGGGAGATCCACAGCCTCTGGTTTCTGGAGGAACCAGCATTCACGTGCATATCATAATTTAAAATAATAAAAATATTTTTTTAGGGCTGGAGAGGTGGCTCAGCAGTCAAGAACACTGGCTGCTCTTCCAGAGGTCCTGAGTTCAATTCCCAGCACCCACATGGTGGATCACACCCATCTGTAATGAGATCTGATGCCCTCCTCTGGTGTGTCTGAAGATAGCTACAGTGTAGTCATACAAATAAAATAAATAAATCTTTAAAAAATGTTTTTTAAAAAGGTATGTAAGACTAGTAATGTTGAATCATTTTATTAAATTTCATCCCCATCTTCTCTTTTGGGACATGGTCTTGCTATGTAGCCCCAGATGGCCTGAACTTGCTATGTAGACCTAGTTGGCCTCAAATTTATGAAACCCTTTGCCTCCCAAGTGCTGGGATTACAAGTGTAGATCACCACACCCAGTCTATAAGCCATTTTTAAAATCTGGTATGCACTGAAATTAAGCAAACTCAGAATCATCTGAAGATCTAAACAAAACAACTCTGGAACATTACCAAGCACTGTTTCACAATGGGAGACACTGAGCACTGGACACTTGGATTGGAAACAAAAAGACAAATCATTTACTTATTATGGTCATGGAGCCAACAGACAAGAAGCCTCAATAATCTGCCCTCAAAGAACAGAAGCCATAAGACTATCAAAGGAGGAAAACCAGATCTGATGCCTCACACCTGCAACTCAAGCACTCAGGAAGTAGTGAGTTCCAGACCAGCCAGTCCTACACAGAGAAGCCCTGTCCAAAAAAAAAAAAAAAATGGTAATTTTAACAAGAAAGAAAGAGGGCTGGAGAGATGGCCCAGTGGTTAAGAACACTGATCTTCCAGAGGTCCTGAGTTCAATTCCCAGCAAGTGTACTCATATACAAAAAATAAATAGATAAATAAATCTTTAAAAAGAAGAAAAAGTGAAAAAGAAAACGAGGAGTCTGGGCCTGGAGTGGTGATGCACATCTTCAGTCTCTGCACTGGGGAAGCTAAGGTGGAATAGAAAGTTGAGGCCTGTGGTGGCGCACACCTTTAATCCCAGCACCTGGGAGGCAGAGGCGGGCCAATTTCTGAGTTCCAGGCCAGCCTGGTCTACAGAGTGAGTTCCAGGACAGCCAGGGCTATACAGAGAAACCCTGTCTTGAAAAACCAAAACAAAAAAAAAAAGAAAAGAAAGAAAGTTGAGGCCTGGGCTCAGTTCTCATACCCTATTTATAAGGAAAAAGGAGGAGGGAGGGCTTGGTATTTCTGGGTATATATTCGAGAATAATGAAAACATACACCCACAGAGTAACCCTGTACCAGAGTCTAGAGCAGCACATTCCCTCTACTCACAAAGTAGAAATACCTAAACGACCACTAACTGCCGATACAATGTAGCATATCCAAATAAGGAACAGTTGCAAGTATAAAATCCAACCAGAAGCAGAAGGCCAAGCACACTGACAACCAAAGAAAGCTAAGTAGAGAGGAACACCTACAGGCAGGAGCTAGGAGTCTGCAAACCTAACAACACAGCAAAGCTGACAAAAAAAGACAGCCATCACTGTCACCCAACTCCAGAGTTTTATTATTCCAAGCAGAAGTCCTGCGCTCATTACTACTCTGAAGGGAGGGGTGAGGCTCAGTGCTGGAACATAAAATAAAAGGGGCTAGTGAGATGGCTCGGTGCTTAAAACCACTGGCTGCTCTTTCAGGGGCCCCTATTTTAATTCCCAGCACCCACATAGTGGCTCACAACCATCTGTATCCTCTTCTGACCTCTGAGAGCTGCCGAATATAGCATGCACACACATGTGGCATACATACAAACACATAACCAAAAATAAACCTGCCAGTGTGGGTTGGGCATGAGTGCCCATTTTTAATCCCAGCACCATGCAGGAGGCTTCACAGTGAGACCTTGTCTCAAAAAAAAGGTAATTAATTAAAATTTAAAAAATTAAAGCAAGCTAACACTATTAAGTTAATAAAGCATAAGTGGAAGCAACCAAGGAAATAAAATTCCTCCTTGACAGTCTTAATTCAAATGGGTAGAATGTTACTTGTATACTTCCCTTCAGTCAACATACTAATCGAGGTATTATGCTCACCAATTTGATTCAACTGTTATACATATTGAAACTTTAAATTTCTAAACTGTAAGGGATTATATGGAGGAGGAGGAGGAAGAGCAAAAAGAAGAGACGTATTATTAACCAAGGATGAACACAACGGCATAACTGAAATTTCTTTTTAATACTTAAGCAAAGGGAGGGAGGAAAATATATAGGTGAAATAATGGGTAAAAATATTGATAACTGTTGAATGTGAGTGACAGTATTCGGGGAGGGATTCAGCTCATTTTTCCACTTATGTGTATGCTTATAAGGTTTTCACTGAGGCAGAGGCAGATAGATCGCCAAAAGTTCGAGGCCAGTTTGGACTACCTATTGAGTTCCTGCTTAATCAAGGCGATCGACCTCGTCTCTAAAAAAAAAACTAGTTTTCGGCAATAACTCTTCCAAAACTGAATTCTTTGCAAATGAAATTATCATCCTGTTTATTCGGGACGAGCTGCCGGGTGGGTGCTGGTGCTCTTGCCTTCGGAAAGCAAGCGGGGTCTAAGGCAGAGGCAAAGCAGCTTCTGGCGGGACCGACTTAAGCTCCGCGCCACCACGCGGACCAAAGAACGCGCACGCTTCATTCAAGGCAGAATCTGACAAATCACTCTCTGTGAACGCTCGGGCTCAGAGAACCGCGGAGCTCAATTTGGAATGCTCGCACGCCGGGGAACCCAAGCAGTCGGGCTGGAGAGCTCTCGGGTCTCGGCCCAGGGCAAGGCCGGGCGCCGGGCCGAGGACACCCCTGGTCGGCCCTCGGGTCCCTCCCTGAACCCTTCGCTCGGTGCCCACATCGCACCTCGGCCTCGCCCCGCCCGCCTACCTTCCAGATCCGCATCGTCCGAGTCCGAGTCACTCTCCCCGTCCTCCTCGATGACGGGCACCACGCTGGGCTCCTGCGAGTGAAAGGTCGTCGGGGAGACGATGAACCTGTCTGATTCCTGGCGGCGGGCCTCGCGCAGGCGTGTGAAGTATTCCACCGCGAAGTCGACGAGGTCGGGCGGCTGCTGCCGAAGCACTTCCACGGTGTAGCCCTGCAGCAGCTCCGTGAGCCCCGCGGGGATCTGGATGTGGCTCATGTCTGCGACGGCCGAGGGGACCTGCGGGTCGGGTCCGCCGGCGGCTGCAACCTGCGCGCTCCCTTACGCCGGCCTGTCACTCCGCGCCCGCGGTCTCCCGCGCGGCCCGCCTCGGCCTTCCTAGCGTCGCGCCTTGTTCTGGCCGGGTCTGAGTTTGTTGTGCGGGCCGCGCGACCCTTCCGCTAGCAAGCCAGCCTGGCGCCGCTGCTGTTGTCACCCGGCCGCAGCCGCCGCCGCCGCGCCGCCGCCGCCGCCGCGGGG